GCTTTATATCTAATACAGCCTCTCTGTGTGTTATTTGGGACTGGCACGGCTGAGGGACTGTTCATATTTATTCCATTGCCACTTAGTCATCAGTCACCAAGCTGGGAATATTCTAGGTTTTTGTGAAAATGGAAAGCTATTGTTTGGGGGGGGGGTCAAACAGTCTATCACATGTTCATAGATATTGGACATAGGCACTGAGATCCAAAGAGGAGTTAAAGGTGACTCCAAGATTTGTAGTGTCTGTTTCTAGACTTATATTCATGAGCCCTCCTCAAGTTAAAAATGGGCTTCTTAGACACTATGTGCCTGGCTCTGGCCATCTCAGTAGTGTTTGTTAAGCTGTCCTTTTATTACACTACCCTTCAGCTTTCACCATCTGCACAATCCTGGACATTAAGTCCTTCCATGACTATTAATGGTGGAGAAGAGGCAACCACTGTTCTGAGCTGTCACTTGCTTAATGGCATTAGCACTTATTTGCTGGCTTTCACTTACTGTTCAGTTCACTATGCGCATCACATACATACACATAATATACACATAAATACATACACATATACTCCTACATGTCTATAGACATGTACATGTGTATATTGTATGTGTAAAAGTCATTGTAAGCAAGGACTTTGCTTATTTTCCTTTAGAACTCCTTAATTTCCATAGGCATAGTGAGTAATACAAAAATTATGGATGACCCTTTTCATTTCTCATGTAATCTGCATGATTGGCCCACTATAAATGTTACATTGTGATCATTATCCAAGCTTGTATTTGTGCTATCACAGATAACCACGATAGGAAAAGGCACTACCACTATCCCATTGCATAATGTTGGAATTGAGCCAGTCACAAGCCATTAGTAATAGAGCTGAGGTATGAAGCCAGACAACTCAACCCCACAACTGGAACATTTGTCCATTCCAGATCCTCCCTGTCCTACAGAGACAGTGCAGGCTCCTCAGCACAAGGGTTCAGAAAGTGAAGGTCTTAAAAGAAGTCTGTTCCTTTTGTCTGTCAATGAAAGCACCATTAGCTGAAAGGTCTGTAACCAGACAGGAATCCACCAATTAAGACAGAGCAAAATGTCACAGAAAACTGGATTTAATGATTCAAATGGTGAAAAGTTTGAACTTGGTCTACGAAAAGTTAGTATTAAACCTGAAAATTAGCTTTCTGCCAATACAGAACACTTGGTGTAGAAGCAGCACACATTTTGCAATGGATTATTTTCTCCTATGGTTTCTGTAACAGATAGCAAGCAGCACTCACAATGTGACTCAGTATACCCTACACAGCTCAGCTCACATTTAGAAGATGAAGCTGTCAAAAAAAAAAAAAAAACCTACACTGACCTAGCCACTCTGGGAAATACAGTAGATTTATGGCAGTTAGGCCACTGAACAAAGGCTGTTTGACCCAGGCATCTCCTGCAGCAGGAGACACTGCCTGCCCGGAAAGACAGAAGCACAATTTACATACATAACACGGGACTAATCTGTCCCAAATCTTAGTCTGCCTACTTGAGACACCCTAGGAAATCCATTACATGGAAGCCAATAAAAGTTGAAATCGAATTTCTCCCCTTGCATCCTTGTTCTGTGTGATTGGCACAGTCGGTTCTGCAAATGAGAATTAGTTGTCATTTTCTCTCATGAGTTAACAGGGTGAGTGCTCTCCTCCTGAAAGGCACCACAAAATATTTTCTTTTTCTCATTTTCTTTCTGCCTTACAAGACTCTCGGAAAAACAGTTTGCTGGTCTTCCCAGGACATGGCTGGACTGAGTGCTGCAGGAGCTTACATGAGGCATGAGGAGGTAAGAACATGTGTTGTTAGGGGGAGATCGGCACCCAGAAGCAAGAACACAACAGTAGTCTGTGTGATTCTTTAATCAAAGAACCATGATAGCTGAACTCCCTCTTCAACCACGACCTGCTATGCACTTTAGCCCGTATTACCTACATAGGAGAGGTCACTGGTGATCATTGCACTGCCTTTGAACTCACTGGGCCAGGATGCTTCTACTGAATCACATCTGCAGGTTCCTTTCCCTATCTCATCATGTGCTTTACATTTTGTTCTTAGGTAGAAGAGTTTTGTTCAATGTCAGATTTAAAAGGAATACTGCAAAGATGTGGTTAGAAATAGAACATTTAGCAGTAAATGACTTAATGTGTTAATGCATTCAACTGATGCTATAATTTTGTTCAGTTATTATAATAACATTCACTACTCTGGTGTATTAAAATTATACTTTCTTGATATTTTATTGCATTTTTATTGATTTTTTTTAAATGTGTTTACACACACATGCCACAGAGGGACTATGGAGACCTGAGGACTACCTGTTCCCAGGGAACAAACTTACTTATTTGTCCCTGTGGCCTGTGTTGTTACCCACTGAGCTAACTAGATGGATTTTATCAAATTCCTTTTAAAGAGGTAAGCAAGACATAATGAGAAACTAAGTGGAATTCATTTATTCCTTTTGATATTTAATTTGCTTCATTACAACTTGAATGTCTTAGCAGTTGGTGCAAATGTTTTAATAGAGGAAGTAATACCCAGACATTTTCAATACAGACTGCATTCCACAAAAAATAATAAGGAATTGTTCAGGAGGAATAATTGTTTCATAAGGAGGCCCTTCCTAGAACCCAAAGACTAAATATCTTTGTATGCACTGTGATATCCAATGCCTTTGCTAGCAACCCAAAGGAAAAAAAATACCCACAAAACTCATTCCAAATATGAATTATTTTATGTTTGATTGATTCTACTTGGTTTTAGCATGTACCCAAGGCGCACAAACATGGTACAATGCTGATTAACCTGTCTAGAAATGCCTGGTGATACATTTCTTCACAAACTCTTCCTGGCCCTTGTGTTCTCTACCATCTCCTCTCAATGTCCCCTGTTAAAATTACTGTTTCAGAATCTTATAAGCTAGCACTCCTATGGTTGCAGGTAGATTTTCTTAAATATTTGAACAGAAATCTTACTTATAAAGTAAAAACACAGTTTATGTGTTCAGTTTTTTGTTGTTGATTTGGTTTTTTTTGCATAGAGAAAATTACTTGGGGTTAGAAAATGCATGGACACCAGAAACAAGACCGTGCAAATGTTTGCTACTCACAATTTTTTGCATCACAAATAGGATGATTTTAGTGGGTCAAAAGTTCACATTTCCAAGCATGATGTGGATGCTAGGAAACTTACCAATATCGGGAATTGTAAATCTCTCTGACTGGACAGTGTTCAGAGTGCTTTTAACTTCACAGGCTCCTCTGTGATGTTGTCATGCTGTTAGAAAGAATCACTAGTTTAGAATCAAGGAGCACATTCCTCATGGAGGGGTACTCCCTTAACCTAGAGGCAGGAGGGAGGGCCTAGTCCCTACTCCACATGACTTGACAGATTTTTTTTGACCCCTCCTGGAAGGCATCACCCTCCCTGTGGAGGGGGTTGGGGGTAGGATGGGAGGGAGAGAGGGAGGGAGTGAGGGAGGAAGAGAGGGAGAGAGAAAGAACTGGGATTGAAATGTAAAATAAGAAAAAAAAAGTTTTAAAAATTAAAAAAAAAAAAAAAAGTTCCCAAGGAAAGGAAAGGAAAGGAAAAGAAAGAAAAGAAAAGAAAAGAAAAGAGAAAAGAAAAAAATCAACCTTAGAGTACTTCTGCCTTGTTAAGCTCAGAGCATGCTGAGTAAGATGGGCTTATAGAACTTTCCAGGTCAAAGACACTTCATGCTTTATGAGTTCTAACCCACAATAGGTCTGGTTTCTTAGACTCATTCCCCAAAAGAGAAAGTTCAATTATAATGCCTGGCAGTGCTGTCACTTAGGTTTCGTTGTCACACTTTGAATTTAGCCAAATGCTTCTTGAGGTAAGGAGTTTGCATATCACCCTGTTTATTGATTAACAGAGGCCTGTCCTTAAAATGTGGTCTGATGGGAACACAACTCTAAATTAAGAGAATTAAAAAAAAAAAAAAAAAAAAAAAAAAAAGAAGAAGAAGAACATCATCCATTCTGTGTAAGATGTTATCAACGTCTGAAACACTGATACGTAAATAAGTTGGAAAACTAGTTTTATAAATTATTTCCAGTGAAAAAGAGTCCTTGAAATCCAAAAATGATTGCCAACAGTTCCTTCCTCTGACCATTTTTGATGAAGACCAGTAAGTCTGGGCAGTGTTTCTTGGTTGTTCATGAATGGCTTTAGGAGGTGTGGTTCCTGGTTGCTATTGTGCCTGAAACTGAGCATAGAATTCAGGACTGCTCTGATAACCAGTTCATTGAGTTACTTAATGACTTGGATGGGATGTACATAGGCTACTGAGTTACAGCAAGGAAGCAATCTTTTCTGTGAGTTTTTCTGGAGCTCTATTTGCTAGATGGCGGGCAGTTTCAAGAATTTTTGCATCTACTTTGAATAATTATCTTAATCCCTGGGGGGAAAGTAACTGAAGACTAAGGTTATTAATTCTCATTATGCTGTAATTTATTATTAGTCTAAACTGGTATTCCAGTGCCCAAAAAGACTAGCTAAAATACAGAGGGACAGATAATCTCTACCCACTTCTTTAACACGTTTGTACCATGGCCATAGCGGTAGTAAATTTATTCATAATTTGTAATCAATTCAATGCATTTTAGCTATGTATATTTCTTGCTCACTTACAATTTATTATTGAATTGTTTTGGTAATTAATGTAAATAAATGAATAATAGATAATGTATTACACTGGTACAACAGCTTGTCACTGTGATGAGAATTTTATGAATTAAGTACTGGGAATCAAACTCATGACCTTGTACACACTTAGCAGTTAGCATATGCTGTATTACAAAGACATTTATCTCCAACCCCCATATGAAACATTTCTTTTTTTTTTTTACAAAACACAGGATTTGGCTAGATGTATGAGGTTTTTGAAGAACAGAATCTCTTCTTTTTAATTTATAAATCTCAATCTTTTGTTTTCTTTAATTAAAGTGTGTTCCACCAAGAAGAAAGGACTTGACAAATTATCTTGAACAAAAGATAAAGTGCTTGGAAAAACAGAGGCAAGAGGTAATGTGAACATAATGGATAAAGTCACACAGCCATGTATTAAGCCTGAAAATAGAACAAGGTACCCTTCTTTTATCTCTGTAATTAAATTAAAGTTTATCTCTAGTATACTGGATTATACTATTTTAAGAAGAAAGGGCTTTTAGAAATCATGGTTTGTGCTATGATGAATGAAAAAGTGTTGATATTATGCACATGGTAATTATGACCCTACTTTTCCAAGTGTTGATATATTCACCACTTGTATAATGGAAGCTTATCACCTATGACCTTTCAAACTGGAATATGATGAGATTTGAGCTATTTAATAATAAGCTTTTAAAGCTTATGTACAATGGATTAAGTTCATTGACTTCCTGAGTTTAGCGCCTAAATGAATGTGGGTTATAAAACACTGTCTTCCAGGTTGGAGAGATGGCTCAGTAGTTAAGATACAAGTTGCTGTTGCACAAGACCCAGGTTCAGTTCCTGGTACTCACATGAAGGTTCATAATCACCTGAAACCCCAATTTTAGGGGATCCTATGTCTTCTTCTGACCTCTAAGGGCACTTGGCATGCATGCAGTTCACATACATGCAGGACAGACACCCAAACACTTAAAAAAAAATTAAAAATTAACCTTAAAATAAGCACATTGCCTTAGAACAAAAAGGTGATTTCTAAAAGGTAGCTGGGAATTAGCAGACATTGTTAGTTGTACTGTTACTGTGTTCCTTGTCTAATGGGTTCTAGGATTCTTTCCTCTTCTTGACCAAAGAGGTGAAGAGCAAAGAAGATACATCACCAATTTGGTTCATTTGCTGATTCATTCTGAGTATTTCATGTCCCTTGTTTTGCTATTCAGAACCTTCTACTCATCTTTGATGCTGGGTAGTACTTCACTCTGGAAAATCACTAAAGCATTGCAGAATAATGCCACCATGGCTATTATACAGCTGAATACTTAGTAGCTGTAAGAGTTTACACCACAAGAATTATTTAATGGCTGCCATTTTGGACTAGGTTTTTGATTGTTTTTGTTGCGTTTAGGAGATGCTTTATATTTTTTGGACATGGTAACTACCTTCTTGATGCCACTGCCTCATGCTGAAAATTGTCGGGATCTTTTTTTTAAACACAGAATTGTGAACTTCTCTTACAAAAGCAAGCAAGCAAGAAAGAAAGAAAGAAATACAAACCAGGATGTTATTTTTTCCTTCTTGTTAACAAAGAGTTTTAAATGTATTTCTTTCTAATCCTGTCTGATGACAAAAACCATTACTCATGAAAATCCATAGGTTCAGAAAGATTTTTATTGTCCCTTCATCCAGGATGACTGGAAAATATATCCACGGGCTGTAAAGATGTCTCAGTGATTAAGAGCACTGGCTGTTCTTCTAGGCGACTCAAGTTCAATTCCCAGCATCCACATGGCAGTTTACAACTGCCTTTACAATTCTTCTCCATTTCCAGGGTACCCAATACCCTCACACAGACATGCATACATGTAAAACACCAATGTACATAAAATAAAAATAAGTAAGTTACAAAAAACAAAGCCAGTAAATAATACAATTAATTTTTTTTTTTAAAGCCTACATCCTAAAGCATGGTACTGCAAGCAAATGTCTGTCAATTAATAGAGTTTTGGCTTCAAGATAATTCTTTGAAAAAGCTGTCACAAGAATTCATTCTAATAGCCATAGTAAACAAACAGGGAAAATATGGAAAGAGAGCCTTAGTATAATAATACTTCTGACAAAATGCTTATAAAGATTTATCAGATTCTGCTTCCATTAATCAGACATGAAAACTAAAATAAGTAAGAAAAGTTGAAAATTTCTATTAAATGCCTCAGCTGACTTGTCAAGACATAATTTAACATTTAATAATATTTGTTCATGAACCAGTTATGAAAATAGGAAAATGTTCATCTAAATGGCCAGCAGGGGCGCTGTGAGAGATACGGCCCAGCACTGCTACCTATAGTTTTGAGGTGGTCCCTCAGCTTGTAAGGCCCATCACTCAGAGGAAGCCAGATCTTTGGCTTCACCCCAGAAAAGAATTCAGGGTGAGCCTGTAAGAACTAGAGTCTATCAAAGAGGAAGTGAGACTTAAACAAGGGGTTAATAGGAAGAGAAGCTCTCAGGGAAAGAATAAGGTTCCCTCTGTAGTGGGTTCCTCACTAGAGAGCTGTGTTTGCTCTCCCAGTGGTAGCCAAGCATACTATTTTGGTGACTGGTGACTGGAGATACAACTCAGAGCTGCACAGAAACATCACCAGCCCTACACACACACACACACACACACACACACACACACACACACACACATACCACATTGCTAAGAGAGGTTACAAGATGGCATTTGAGGTTCCCTAGATGGCCTATACTCTAATAACAAAGTTTGCACAGAAGAAGGTAAGACATGCATTGTACTGTAAATGGAGTTTCTAGGGAGGTTACTTGAGGGGTTACAGCTGGGCTGAGAGGAAAGCCATTCACACTCAGGCCTGGACCATGGTTTATGGCAGTTTGAACAATCTGATTGGATACCACTCTGTGTAAAAGGAAGTTTGTCTTTATATAGACTCTTTACCGTCAACGTTGGAGGTCTTCCCTTTGCCTAGCTGATGAGAAAGAGGTTTCCACCGGACTCTGGGGTGAGGGGTTCCTCTCCTACTCATGGCCTTACACTTCTCTTTCTAGCTTACCTCAAAACCATCCAAGCCAAACCAAAACCTGCTAGGAGTGCTGCCTTCACCCATGGTTCAAACAGTGATCTCATGTTTCACAAACTTCCACATGGGTGGAAATCTTTTGTGGCATCACCACATTTTAATAATTTCAGCTCCTGGAAATCAATCAACAATGGGACCAACAATTCCGAAATATGAAAGAGTTATATGAAAGGAAGGTAAGAGACTCTTCATTTGAGATCGCCCTCCATCCTGGTAGAGCCACAAGTGACTTTTGTGGATCCCTAGTTACCAGCAAATGAGGGACCAAGTTTCACCGTTACCATCTTGGGACTCAGGATGGATATGCCAACCAGTTGCTGAGAATGTAATCTTGGTTCTGTCCAAGAGTTCCCGTGGGTGCTCCCAGCCCTGAGTTGTTACTGAGGCTGAGGTAGGGTCAGTGAAGAGTCGGTCAGAGAATCAGCTATCTTTTATCCATGGAGACACAGAGCTAACAACCAGAGTGCAAGGGAAATGCCACCTTCTGTTTCCCTTAACGCACATGCATGTGGGAAGTCATCTTAGCCCGAAAAGAACATTTGGGGGGAGTTTTCTTTAATAGGGTAAAGTCGTTATTATTTTCAGAAAGAAGAGAGAAAGTGAACTCCCCTAAATAATTCAGAATGAAGAAAACGAACCACAGTAATACAACAATGCTTGCACATTCCTCCTCGTTTGATACTCAGAATTAAATTTAGAAGCAGGAAGATAGAGTCCCACCGCAGTAGTCTGGATACCTTGTTCTATCCAGCACGGACTCCAAATTTTAACAATAGTGTTCCCAGAAAGAAGGTTTTTTTTTTAAAGCTTCCTAGAGCAGCCAGTGAATCCAGAGAAAAGAACAGGCATAATTGTAAATGGAAGGAAGTGCCATGTTCTAGCACAGGACTCTTAATTTGTCAGGAGGAGGGACAGCAGATACCAGGCCCACCTGGTTTGCCCTTAGCTGAGGGCTCTAGTTACTTCCTGACCACCTGTGACTTTTTCTTGTCCCCTGCCTCCCAGCGGCCAGACACCTCTGGAGAACTAGAAGCCTGCAGTCTAAGCTCTGGCTCCTCTATCCTTTGGAAGGAAGTAGGGGCAGTTTGGAGAAAGGAGAGGCGAGCAGGACGCCATTTGGAAGAAAGTGTGTGCTTTTGTGGAGAGCAAGCTCCTTTTAAAATGCAAACACGCTGATGCGTTTTAGGGGCCTGCTCTTCCTTGGGGGACTTCCCGGGGTGAGGTGGGGCGCCCGTGTTCCCAAGTGCACTGGGTTAGAGCGTGGTGTGACTGTCTGCAACTGTCTCCCTCCGATGACCCCCTAAGGTCCTGGAGCTGAAAACGAAACTGGCGGCCACAGAAGATATCCACAACCTAGAGAAGGAACAGAAACAAAGCGTGACAGAGGGCGACAGGCAGCTAGAGGTGGGTGGCAGGCGACTAGCCTCTAGTTGAGCCAGGCAGTGGTGAAAAACAGCTCCCAAAGGAGTCACGCACAGGCTCAGTGCGCCTGGTGAGTGGGGTGGTGGTGATGGGGGCTGTGTGTTGCCTTCAGTGACCGGAAATTAAAGGCTCTTTGAGGGAGAACCTTCCAGGGCTTTGCAGCCTCGCCTGTGACTTTTATTGCTAGTGACAAAGTCTCACTAAGTTTCCCAGGAGTGCTACCTCCCTTGCCCAGAATTGGCCACTGACCCCAAACTGGCCTTGAACTTGCTATTCTCCAGCCTATGAGTCCCAAGTGCTGGAATGCCAGAACTACTTCACCACACCCGGGTACACAGAACACTTTAAAAACCACTTCACACTCATTATCTCATTCAATATCCCGAGCTCAGCCTTGAACAGGTCAGCCCTAAGAACACTGGGGACCTGAACCCAGGCTCGAGACTGCAGGGGTGAGTAGGGACAATGTGAGGGGTTTCTTCTCGTGCAGGCCTCCCCCCCCCCAGTCTTTGGAATTTATGAGGTATATATAAGGAAGATGATAAACTCTAATGACAGCTCTCGGAAGATATGGTAAGAATAAAAACGAGTGTGTGTGTTGGGTTCTCATGGGAAGTCTTGCTGCCACTGCAAGGTACTGGCAATGCATTTAAGTGTGCAGAAGTATGGCAATGCTGCTAGCAGAGCTTCTAGGGTGAGAGTCTGGGTCCGAGTGTCCCTGGCAGGAGAGGCTCAGCCACTGTCCTCAACCGGCAAACTAAAAAGACAATTACAAAAAGCAGAGAGACGAGATTTGGTTCATGTACCCACATTGGGAAGAATGACAATGAAGTGGCCCAGGACCTCCAAGCTCACCTTCAGGGTCCTGGGATGAGGTTCAGTTTTAAATGGAGGTGAAGAGGGGCCCACCACTCAGCAGTCCTGGTCGGGGCATATGCTAGATACTGTCACTGCCCTGCTTTGCTCTGACAAATTGTCAGAACCCCCAACTTTCTTTGGCTAGCCCCAGGTTTCATTCCCAGCAGGAGATTCCTGGGGGAAATCCCAAATCCATGGAGCATTATCTTAGTGGTCTGATAGTCAGAGGGAGGGCACCAGTGTCTCTCTGCGTATCCTCTCTCCTCCAGAATCATGGGTACCTCCCATACCGTAGCCCAGGCTTGCTCTCCTGGCTGAGGCTACAGTCAGGGTTGATCCAGGAAACAGGGTGGTGACAAACGAACCCCCTTTCTGCTGTACAGCACACACTTCCTTATCCAGCTACACCCTAGCTTGGAATTTCAGTAACGTTTTCCTCGCGTACTTGGGAACGTTTTGTAGATGTAATATAATCAGATTCTTTCAGCCTCTGCTAAACTAGAGAGGGATTGGCTCATCTAATAGCACAGATTTGGTCTGTTAAAGTAAGCGGTAATGGGATGTTTTCACCTTGAAAGAAAATAAGATGCCTGAAATTGATTTCTTTTTTTTTTTGATAATATTTTTTAATTTAAATTTGAAGCAGGCTTGTTTTACCTGTCAATCCCAGTTCCCTCTCCCTCCTCTCCTCCCCTAACCCACTCCCCTATCCCCTCCTCCTATCCCATCCCCTTTCTGTTCTCCAGAGAGGGTGAGACCTTCCATGGGGGGGGGATCTTCAAAGTCTGTCATATTATTTGGAACAGGGCCTAGGCCCTCCCCCAAGTCTCTAGGCTGAGAAAGGATCCCTCTATGTGGAATTGATTTCTTAAATTTAATTACTATATTGGAATGTGACTAGAATAGCATTTGAATACCTGTGTTAGCTACTTCTCTTGCGCTACATTCTGCAGTATTTATTTTTCTAGACTAGATTCTCATTAAGGATCCAATTTACTCCACCAAATTTTGCTATTTTTTGTCTAAAATGAAGAGCTGAGAAACATGAATCAGGACTTTCAGTTATGTAATATGGTAAACTTCTTGCAGATTGTCTGAACCACTGAGGTACAGTTAGTTGGAAGGCTGGATTTCTGCCCTATTATAAAATTAATTTTCATTTAAATAAAAAACAATCTTATTTTACATACCAATCCCAGTTCCCTCTCCCTTCCATCCTCCCACTCCCCTCAACAACCCCCGATTCCACCCCCATCCACTCCTCATGGAGGGTGAGGCCTCTCATGAAGGATCATCAAAGTCTACATATCATCTGGGGCACGACCTAGCCCTCCCCCGTGTATCTGAGCTGAAATAGTATCACTTCATAGGGAATGGGTTCCCAAAGCCCCTTCGTGCACTAGAGACAAATACTGGTTCCACTGCCAGCGGCCCCATAGACTGCCCAGGTCCTACAACTGACACCCACATTCAGGCAGCCTGGTTCTCCCTTTTAATGATAGTTGTGACAATGCTGTGCTCTGAGTATCTATTTGCAGTGAACGTCCTTATATGTCTAAAATTTATTGTCCTTGTCTCTGGTATAGAACCGTGCAGGATTGGCCTTGGGCTATTTAATATCAGTTCATTTCAATGACTTTTCCTTTTTTTCTTTTTAGACTTTTTAAAGTTTTTAACCAGTCCCTAGGAACAGGAAGTAGATTGTTCTGCAGACCAATTTGACTATTGAATGTGAGGATTAGGGTTTAAAAAGATTTTTTTTTTCTGGGATCACCACAGTATCATTACGTTTAGTAACCCTGTCCTCCACTCCAAGAATGCTGTTCAAAGGAATGTTAGAGACAACCTTGCAGGTCCTCTTTGCTTATGTTTGGGGGCTGCCAGTCTTCCAGAAACAACCAACTTCTTCGAATTTCTGTCTTCTCCTTCTCTTGGGTAATGTTTGATTTGGGCCATGTTCTCTTTTCTCTTTTTTTCAGAAGGAAAAGGAAAGCCTAAGGGAAGAATTGCAAGCCCTGCAGAAGGAGAACACGTTGTTGAAGGAAAACAATGCTCTCGCAAACAGGAAGAAAGAACATTATGTGTGTGAAATTAAACGACTCAATAAGGTAGCAGAAGAGGTGAAGTGTGGAGGGTCAAGATGATAGGCACAGCAGAGGAGTCAGGCCTGCTGGCTCACAGCAGGATGAGCCACAGTGCGCCTGTCTTGCATCTCCTGAGGACACACTATGTGATTTACACAGAACAAAATTATAGAAGTCAGTAAGATTTTTTTTAAAAGAACCACATGATGGCACTGGGTGTTTTTTGAACAAATAACTTATCTCTTGGTCAACCACAAAAGCTTCCTGAGGAAGCAAGCCATGTTTTAAAAGATGGCTATGGAGCTGGGTGATGAAAGCATGCTTAGCTCCAGATTCAGGGCTGAGATGCCTGAAATCTGGGGACGGAGCCTGAGGGAATCCACTACGAGTAGGAACTGATGACAGAGAGAGGCATAGCCAAGTTCAGAGAACAAACTAAATTGTTTTAAAAGGATGATGATGAGTGTGTGAATGTGTGCATGTATGTGTGTGTATGTGTGTATGTGTATATGTGTGTGTGTGTGTGTGTCTTTGTATATAGGTGCCTGTGTGATATGTGCATGTATGTATGTGTGTTTGCATATCCATGTGTACATATATATGTGTATATACGTACATGTATGTGTGTGTATATGTATATGTGTGTATGTATATATATGTGGGCATATGTTTGTATATATGTGTTTACATATGTGTGGGCTGATTAATGAACTAATGTAATAGTCTAGTTCAACACAAAATCATAAACCCCATACTGCTATTTTTCCTAGAGCTAGGAACTAAATTCCTAGGGTTCTTAAGTGTTAGTAACTTGGATTTTTACGATAAATGCTTTTCTCTTTTACACTATTATAATAAATATGGAAATGCTTTGAGTAAACATCGGAGCATGAATTTGGGGTCAATGTTTAGCTTCCTGCTAACCCACTCATTCAATAGGGACACAAGGTTAAGAACAGACAGTTAATAAGTAATTAATATGAGTTTTCACATGTGTGCTTATACTCAATTCAGTTCATTTGATTGGAAGAAAATACCCAAGGATTTTGCCAATATCAGGTTCTTCCAGAAATGTTATATATTTAATCAGTGTGAAGCTAGCTCCATCCTGTGCAAAATTGCCTTGTCTGCCACCTCATCATTTTGGAGATGGATGGATTGTTTAGTGTATCAGAACTGATAGTAAAAATGACTAATCTAGTACAGGTTCAAGGAAGTTGGAAAGCACCGATAAATGTTGATTCAACTCACATTTCATTCATGACTCATTTTAAAATTTCCTGGATAGCATTGAGGGGTAAACTAGGAAATTAAAATAAGGTTTCTATTGAAGTAGTCTAGTTGCAGCTACTGGGTATTACATTGGCATGTTTGATCGTTGTTATTTATTCACGTCACCCTCTCTGGATTCTCTCTCCTATCTTTCACGCTGCTTAAAATTATGTTCAACTTTCCTAATATTTCCTAGGATTATGTGGCTTGTACATGTTACAAATGGATTGAGTCCCACTTCTGTTTCATACTTGTAAGGGCCCCCAACACTACCATAAATAAATGAGTAAATTAAGGCAAAATCTAACCTATTCACTAACTTTGTTCCTTCTCTAATCTTCTCCTGGAAGAAGAAGAAGAAAAAAGTTGTTTTACCTGCAAGGTTCTGAAATTTGCACTCCTATCATGCTAGGTCATATGTGTATATTCTAAGACATACTATTAGGAAATTCCTGACAATATCTGCTCAAGACTGCAAGCTGGCTCTTCCTTCCTGCCTCTATGACCATACTGTGTAGTGGTAGGGAGAGTCCACTGCCATGGAGATCATCCATTGGCCTTCCTAAGTTTGGTAAGCTGCTGACAGAGGAAATGAATTCATAAACCTCTGAGGTGACCTTCTCTATGTAAAAGAGTACGCGAGTAATGAGCAAGCTGTCAATTTGTGGTGCCGAGGACACTCACAGATGAGACCGTCTATCCCAGTGTTGAAAATCATTTTTGTTAAACTCACCATGAACTGTAAGTCTCCAAACAAGGGTTAATGTCTTCGCATAATCTAAGCATGAGCAAAAAGCACTACAGGCTGGTGGTAAATGGTGAGACGTCACTAGCAAAGACAAGTTTCTCTTTGCCTCCTCATCCCGTGGTAAAATCATAAAGTTGTATTTAGCACATACCATTCCACGCAACCATGAGGACATAAATGTTTTAATAAAGCATAAAGATGGCTGTCTAGGTCAGGAAATGGAGTGCTGGAAAATGACAGAACAGAAGAGAAGCATAGCAGGGCCTGGAGGCAGTGACTGTACAAACGGCCACATGGTATGGACTTCCTTCGAGATATGGGGTGGTTGTACAGAAGTGTCCTTGGAGCCCTCATTCGACCTGTGGATTCAGAAGCTCTGGAGACAGTGCCCAGGAGGATGTATCTGATCTCTCTGCCTTTTTCTTAGCTAGATGACAGGGCAGCCAACAGTAATGCCCTTCAACATGATGGAGGTTGAACAACAACACACTATCATCATGGGGAAGGCAGAGACTTGAAAAATATGCACAAATGCAGAAAACCAAAAGGAAAAACCGCGAGTCGGCCATGTAGATAGTCAGCATTAGAAAAGAAATGTTGTACTGGAGGGTTTGTGACAGTTATGAACGAAGTACTAAGGTCATCAGCAGTGTGTTTCATCTTTGACACAGGCTCTTCAGGATGCCCTATCCATCGGGAGCTCTCCACTTTCAGAGGGCTCAAAGAAGTGTAAGGAGAGGTGCCGCCATGCAGAGATGAGGACAAAAGTGGAAAGTCACAAGCAGCAGGTAAGAGGCAGGGGCAGGAAGTGGCGTGATGGGGGGGGGCACAGGGCTCACTGTTCATGTTCCTTTCGACATGCCTGTATGTCTTTCGATGAAAAAAGTAGTAAAGATTTTCTTATTTAGTTAGAGTTATTCCATTTTAAAACTTGATAGGAAAAAATAGAGATGGGTTACTTCAGTACCACTGTTCATAGAAGGATTCATAACAGAGGGAGTTGAGTTTCAGATGGGTTAAGTAGCTTTACTCAGGATTGCTTGGTCAATGGAGTGGCAACTGTATTACCCTGGTGTGAAGTTCTGTCAGCAATGAGTCTCAAGAGTCTAAAGTAGACATGGTGTATTTCTGCAACACTATTAACTCAAACTCTGGACCTTTTCAGAGAATGGTAACAGTAGGACCATTCCACTGCAGCTGCTGGCCTCTGGCCAACTGAGCAGTAAGTGTAGTCTATTCTTTTTATTTAATGGCCTTTATTTATTTCTATGCGTGTGCGCGTGCGCACACACAGATCACATAGTTTGTGTGGAAATCGGAAGAGCACTTTCAGGAGTTGTGTGGATCTTGGGCACTGAACTCTTCAGGTTTTACCTACCAAGTCATCCTGTAGGTCCCAGGAAGTTTAGCTTGAAAATGAATCCTTCTCATTTATGTACTCACTAGAAATGAAGCTAGCACAGCTCCTCCCACCATTGGGTAGAGGACCAACAGTTTGCCTATGGTTAATAGCTTCATTCCCTCCAATACCTCAACCTCTTTCGAGCTCACCAAATGGACTTTGTTACTACATCATAGGAAATAGACCATCTGCAAATTAAACTGTAAAGTTTGATCTTCTTCCCCAGAAAATACAAGTATCTGGGTAAGTAGTTTCGTTCAGGTTTAATGCAGACAGTGGCAGGTTTACATTGGGTCAAATAGCAAAGAGCCCATGTCTTCTGTGTTTGGATGACTCTTTCCCTAATGTCCTTAATTTACATTGTATCCATTTTTTTCTAACTGAACAGCTACAGTGGTCACATCACCAAATGCTATATGAAATATGTGTGGTGTATGGAGCTCTGTGGCTTCACTTAGGATCTACTGCCAGTTAGCTCTGCTTTAGAACTTGAAATAGTGTCCAGACATTAAAGCCCTTCATGAATACAGTTGACTTACTCCACAGCAGTGCCTGACTTTGGCCAGTGGTCCATGATGGAAGATAGAACAAAAAAATAAGTAAAGACAAGTTTTAAAAACTGTCCACGATGCCTTACTTCTGCGCTCCTAATGTGTGCTCAAGGATAAAGATTGGTAGACTGACTCTCCAAACAACCAAAGATAAAATTATAATCATAGGTATCTTTATATTCACTGTGAGCTAAAATTATAATCATAGGTATCTTTATATTCACTGTGAGGGAATATTTGTGAACAGAAACCAAGAATGCTTCAGTTTGGAAAAGCACAGACAGTACCTTTAAAAATAATTTAAGTACCAGGAGAGAAAAGAGAAAAATTCTTAGTCCCTCCCTGTTGGACAGATAGAATTCTTAGGCATAGGTTAGAACAAAGAATCTTTGCCAAGCATATGTGTGTTCTTCTTTTTTAGTTTCCTTCTGTTTGTTTTTCTTTTTCTTTCTTTCTTTTTCTTTTTTTCTTTTTCTTTTTTTTTTTTTTTTGTTTGTTTGTTTTTTGTTTCAAACGTCAAGCCCTTTTGAATTCTGGTGATTGACACTCGGTATTTAGGAGTTTATTAGTGGGGATGAAATCATCTCTATACATTCTTATAAGGAGATAGAAACTACTAGAAATTCCTTTTAACTTAAGTATAGTAAAGAATTACCCAGAGATTATTTATTAAATAAGAGTTCTTCTGATATTTTTCTTATAATATTTATCTTGGTAGAATTGTGGGTTTAACTACCTACTATGTAAATATAGGCAAATTGTTCTGAAGTCTTTTTCCTTGAAGGGCCGCAATGGAATGTGCCTGCCTTCCAAGACATACATCTTTCTAAATGCCATGCATATGACTCGTGAAACCCCAGGTGTTCTCCAGTGGGTTTGCACAGTTAGTGGAACTGGTGCACTTTCAAGGGAGCCTGAGCATATTAAATGCAAGCAAGTTAAGTGTGATACAGTATATGAGAAGTACATGAGTAAACACTGATGTTAAAGAAAATGTAGCAACGTCAGCTTTCTGTTAATTTTGAAGTTAACATAAAATATGAAGGATTTCATTATATTTTCATAAAAGTATCCATGTCTGCTCCTCCTTCACCTGTCTCCATCTTCCTGGTAGTCTTCCTCCTTAGCTATGCCCCTGCTCTCAGATGCATCCCCTTTCTCGATGCTTCCCTCTGCGCATGTCCCATGTATTCATATTAGCCCCATATGATTTCTACCCCATTCTTTCTCCCTTATGATTTCTTACTCTGCTCTCATGTTCTGCTTTGTATTTTACTCTCTCTCTCTCTCTCTCTCTCTCTCTCTCTCTCTCTCTCTCTCATACACACACACACACACACACACACACACACACACGCACACTTACCTTAAGTAATTTGATTTATACTTAAAATGCCTTTCAATATGGAAGGGAATTGGTGTGAGACCTGCTATGATGACCATTTAGCTTCAAAAAGTTTCAGCCTTTCATGAAATGTTAAGCTAGTAATCATTCTTTCCTTTATATTTCACAGTAGCTTTGTGAGTTAAATTGTGCTTTCTTGACTCTTTTTCCAGGAATGACATGAAATTTACAATTTTACATGTGAGTTATTTTGGCAGAACCATTTCTAAGAAACTGGAAATTATTTTATTCAGTAAAGAAAAAGTTAAGTTAAAAGGGATCAAAATATAATTAGACAATTTTGTAAAAAAAATAATTTATTCTCTCTAATGAGCCACATAATAATGGGTGAAAAGTTCTACTTGTTCTTAGTGAACAAATTACTCTCTCATTTATTTCTTGTATGTGAAGCTACTTTAATTCGTTTTGTTTGGGCACAAATTATTTTGTTTCCTACCATATTTCATTCCTACCACACTAAATTCCTTCCTCTTAGATGACTATTGCTTGTATCAAGTCGATATAAAAGTAGCCAACACAATGAAGTATCATTTATTCAATGAAGCTGGCTTATTCCCTGATAAGTTGATCATCTTAGCAGGGATTTAAGTGAGAAAATTGTCTAATACATGTAGAGTAACTGCTATGTAATACAGAGAGCGCCTTCTGTGCAGCCTCAGCACAAGGGAAGCTTTGTCCTGCTCTGCTACCTGAACTTCTGCTCGCAGCATTCCCAAGATACCTGCGGGTTCTTTTGCAATCCATTAGAAAATATTAAATTTTTTTTTGTTCCAGGCTTTCGTATTGCCTGCAAGTGAAGGTTTTAAAAATAGTATTTATTGACAGCGATATGTTTTATTTTATTTGCAAGAAGTAGTGAGGTTTCTTCAGATCTTCAAACACATCATTTCAAAACAGAGAGAGGGAGAGAGAGAAAGGGGATGCTCTAGATACTGCCTGTTGCTGTGATAAAACACTGACTGAAACCAACTTGGGGAGGGGGGTGGCATTTGGCTTTAACATCTGCATCAGAGCTCATCATTGGAGGAAGCCATAGTAGGAGCACAAGGCAGGGACCTGGAGGCAGGAGATAAAGCTGAGATCTTGAATGAAAGCTGCTCGTGCCCTGTGGCTTGCACAGCTTGCTTCCCTATAAGGTTGTCTGCCCAGGGATAGCACTGCCTACAGCAATCTAGGCCCTCTGGCACCAACTATTAATGCCCATAGATATGCTCACAGGTCACTCTGATAGAAGTAACTCCTCAGTTGAGATGCCCTTTTCCCCTGTGATTCACTTTATGTCAAGTTAACAAAACTTAACCAAGACAGAAAAGAGAGAGGTTGGGGGAGGGAGGAAAGAAAAGAGAAGAAAAGGAAGCCAGAGAGGGAAGAGGAAAAGCAGGGGGAACAGAGACAGAAAATGTGCAAGTTGCCAGTAGCAAGAACTCTAGCCAGGTACATGCAGAAGGGATGAGATGGGGCGAGATGAGGAAGAGTTGCACAGGTTTGTGTGAAAACAAGTTTTTTAGTGTTGGCTGTTTAGTAAAATCCACAGAGTATAATTATGTCTTAATGGGCCACGATGCTTTATGAAGTGTGTGTTTCTACAACAGTGATTTCTTTTTCCCCACAGGCTGATTATCAGTGGGATGCTCTTAACCAGCTTCCTCCACATGTACCGTACAAGGCACATGGTAAGACCACAGCTTTAATGGGCATTCTTTCATGTTTACATACTAATGGGATCTCTGGAGGAATGCCTTCTCAATCCGTTTGTATGAGGGAGAGACTTCCTGTGAAATTCTGTCACACACACACAACTCTCATTTGGTGGTCTGGAGTGAACTCCTTCAGACAATGTTGAGATGCCAAAAGAAATGTGTCTCGGTTTTCTCTTCTGCTCCTATTCCAGATTCAGTCAGAGACTTAGAAAGGAAAACCTTAAGTTCAGCCATATACAGCAACATCAGCAGCACTGTTTCTACCCCCAAGGCAGGTGCAAACCCACAGCCCAGGAGGATTCAAGGAAGATGATGTTGTTCATTTTGTTTTGAAATGTGGTCCATTGTCGACCAATAGCTTCAAACTCACACTGTAGCTAAGGATGAGCTTGAACTCCTGGTCTTGCTGTGATGTCCTAAGAGCCAGGATTATAGGTATGCATCACCATGTCCAGCAAAGCAGATGTTTCAAATGCTGTTGTCATACAAAAGAACCTCAAAGCTCAGAGAGGTTTTCCCTCGGGATGTGAGGAAGATTCTAAGGAAACATTCTGTTCTGCCAGAGTTACTCACAACACCCACCTCTCATAGTGCTGGCAGAGTACTAAATGCCATCTGCAAAATTCTCAAAACTGAAAGTGCCTGTATGTCTCATATTTCTTTGGTTTACTAGTCTCCTCCTTCTTTCTAGAATCAGCCTTACTTTCTGCTTGTTTAAACAGTGCCTTTAGGCCACCCAGGAGTGGGTGGTATGAACAGAGTTATAAGTAGAGTTCCCTCTTTTATTCTCACCCATTTAAAGCCTTCTGTGGCACACACCGACTCCACCTTGTTCATTTTTAGAGCTGTGGATTTTTCTAGAAACCTCAAGATAAGTTCTGTAGCTTCAACTTATACTTGAAATGTTATCAGTTTTATTAAAAGCTGACATAATCTTAGTTTTTAACATACTCCATCCACCCCTCCAGCTCTGTGATCTGCAGTGCACATAGCCTCTCTCTTCGCCCATTCAATCCATGCCCATAGGTTTCTGTGGCAAATGTCCTATGCTTTTGGCATCTCCAATATCCTGGAGTCTCTATCCCCACCTCAGTTCTGCATCCACAGCTTCACGACGCAATGGTCTCCGAAGACCTCTTTGCAGGGACTTGGACCCTGCCACACATTGCCTGGCCTCTGCTGCTCTCTGGAACCACGGAATAGAGCAGGACTCCACAACATTTGCAACCCTGTCTTTCATGCCTCTAGCCCAGCACCATATGGATGATGCTGCTAAGCTCTGCTGCCATAATTAGATGTAACCTGGGATGCTTGGACCACAGTGGCATCAGCTTCTCTGCTCTGAGCCTGGGAAAGCTCTCTCCTGAGCTTCCACTGCTGAAGAATGGCAACTCTCTCACGTGCTTCCTCAGCTTAGGCTTTCTCCTTTCTTGTAAATTGGAGCCTTCAATGAAGTCACATATGCTGCTCCATTGCCAGTGGCCACTTTTCTTATTGGGGGAGCTACTCTCCGGAACAATCATAGTTGTTGTCTGAACTCTGTATGAAACTCCAAGCTTGCTCACATTCCCTTCCTCAACCAAATAAATCAGTCTGTTGCTTTTAAACTCAACATCATTCAAGTTCTCAGGACACAGGTAGAACATAGGCACACTCTTTGCTAGAACATCGCATGAATGCCACTTCATCCTCTTCTATCAAGCCCTCACTGTCTTCATTCTTCTTAGCGTTTTATTTCCCAAGATCCCGACAAAATGGCCGTTAAGCTCTCCTCCCAGGATTCTAGGGCTTTTGTTGTCCAGAGCACCAAACTGTTGGACGTTTGAGTGACCCTGGTGAGGTGAGACCATTTGTGTTTACGGTTTCATTGGGAGATATTGGCCAATTTCTGCACTTTCGTGTTTGTTTCTGCCTGGCTGGGTTACTGTTTGATCTGTTCCTTCCGGCCCGTCTGTACCAAGGGTTGGTGTACTGTGTGGGGTGTGATGAACTTCCTGCTCCTTTTCCCTTGTTTAGCCTACTCTCCTCATGACATTCGTCCTTTCTGGGGTTGTCATTGTTGAGGAGACTTGTGTTTGTGCTTTCACAGGCTCCTAAGGGAGTCATCACCGTGATGGAAAGATGCAGCTGTGAATGTCAAGCAGACTGCTGGGCTTCAGAAGTTTCCGGTTCAGAAATAGATGGCTCCAGAGGTTGCCTGACTATCAAACTGCAGGGCTATTGCCATTCATGAGATCAGTTCATGGCAGCTCACAGTAGAGTGTAGTTGTATGATGTTTTTTTTACTCTTTTGGCTTTTGAGGAGCCTGCCACTCAGCTCCCAAGCAAATCACACATAGAGGCTTATTCTTAGTTATGAGTGTGTGGCCTTAGCTTGGCTTGTTTCTAGCCAGCTTTTCTTAACTTTAAAGTAACCCATCTGTGTTTCCCCTCTGGGCTTTCATCTTTCTTAGCTCTGTGGACCTTACTTTCCTTATTGGTGTCTGGGCGGCTGTCTGGGCGGCTGTCTGGGCGGCTGTCTGGGCGGCTGTCTGGGCAGCAGACTCCTGACATTCTCCTTGCCTTCCCTCACTGCTCCCCTTCCCCCTTTCCCCTCCTATTCATACTCTCTGACTGTCAGCCCCGCCTATCCTTGCTGCTGCCTGGCTATTGGCCGTTCAGCTCTTTATGAGACCACCAGGTGTTTTAAAACAGACACAGTAACACAGCTTCACCTAGTTAAACAAATACAGCATAAACAAAAGTCACACCCCTTAAAAGAATACTCCCCAACAGCACAGCTTTAGCCTTGGCATGCCCTCCCCTCCGGCGTTTTACAGCTGCATTTAGAGGGAAATAATCAGAATGAGAAAGTTTAGGGGAAATTGGACAGGATCTTCGTCCTCCACATTTTTGTACCAGGAACTTGTTTGGGAAGGAAAAATGTTTACACAGTGAGGAGGGCTAGCTATACTTGGAGCAGGAGTAGAGCTGAGTACCACCTGGCATACTCTTCCAGTCAACAAACTAACAGTCTTGATCTCATCCACTGCAGTAAATGACTATTCCCAAGGCATTAGAAGATTGCATGCCTTCTCACTGCACATCACAAAACAATGAGCTGTGTCATGGGTTAAAATCTACAGACGTTAATGAGCCACAGAGTCTGCTTCCAAAGGTGATTTTACAAAGCAGATTTATTTCTATCTCTATTTTTTCTGTTCCTGTAGTATGTAAAAAAAAGTGACTATTATAAATAGCAAAGCTTACTATGAGATATAAGAAACAGGGTGTTTGCAATTATACTTAGTATCATATTGAGTGCAGATAGATTATTGAGAATAGGCTAGGCTCACAATCAAAAATATAAGTGAATAATTTTTCTTATAAAATACATTTTCATTATTCTACTAGTAATTATAATAGATTGATATGTAGATAAAGGAGGTAGATGACATATATTGTTGAATAGATAAGATTATAAAGCTAGGTGATAGGTAATAGATGATATATATTTTGGTATTAGACATTATTATAGGTGATTGGTAGATAATTGATAATAGATGAACAATAAGTAGATGACAGATAGCAGTTATATACATAGATATAGATAGCCATGATGATAAATAATAGGTAGTTGATAAATGATAATTGTAATAGATGGATAGATAATAGATAATATGAACAATATATAGATAATAGATAATATAGATAATAGGCAATATATGAACAATAAGTAGGTGACAGCTAATATAGACAGATGATAGATAATAGATGAATATACATATAGATGATAGATAAATAGGTGTGATATATAGTTTCTCTTAATTAGTAAATTGCTTGTATTTTTTTTTAATAGAAACTAAAGACTTTTAGGAAGAAAAACAAGTTATATCTTATTGCACCTTAAATGGGAAGAAGGTTTGGGAAAACTTGCCTATGTTTTAGGAAAACTCTATCTTCTCTTCAGGAAAAAAATAAAGAAAAAGTTTTGACTTTGGATTTGTCAAATTCCCATTCTGCCATGGATTATTTCATGGCCATAACTTCTTTCCAAAGCAAGGCGATAGAGATCTTCGCTATACCTCTCTCACAAAAGCACTGGCCAAATAACAACAGGACTATTTAGTCACAGCTGCAGACAGGAGCCATTGGTGTATTCACTCAGTCCTCTCTCCTTAGTTACATTGGTAAATTACGCTTCAGTGTTGAAATGATCTTGTCAGGGTACACAATGCTTCTAGTTTTGGTTTCTCCACTATTATGATTTTCTTTAGTAAGAAAGGTTGTCTCGTTTCTTGTTAAGGAGCGTGTGATAACACTCCTGCATCTTATTTTTGAGGCAGTGTGTAATGAATATTCTCACTGTCACAGCACCTCTTCAGAGACCCTTTTTGTCTTCGTCTTTTTGAAATTAAAATATGAATACATCATTCCCCACCCATCTTCCTCTTTAATTCTTCCCATGTACCCCCTCACTTGGTCTCTAATTCATGACCTATATTTTTAATTGTTGTTGTATGTGTGTGTGTATATATATATACAATGTGTGTATATATAATGATTTATGAATATGTAATATCTCTAATTTATAAACATGTAATTGCTCTGTGTAATACATGGATAATCATAATATATATTGTTTATATATACTCCTAAATATATAAATATAACCTGCAAGTCTATATAATGTTACTCGTATGCGATTTCAAGGTGGACCACTTGGTATCGGAAAACACCTTGAGGGCTTTTCCCTGGAGAAGGCTGTTTCCCACTCGCACCATGCCGCACCATGCCTTGGCTGCCTATAGTTCTTTGCCTAGAGTTGTGGCCCCACGAACGTCCCCCTTCCACGGTAGCCCACCATTGGTGTCATCTTTGTTCAGGTCATGCTTAGGCAACCATCTGATGAGGCTTCCTGGTGAACCGTTTGACATTTATAGGAGACAGTCTCACAGCAAACTCCCTGTCCCTCTGCTTTTACACAGTCTCTCTACCCGTCCTCTGATAAGATCATACACCTTAGATGCAGGAGTTGGCTCGTAGATATATCTGGGCTGGGTACCACATCATCATTTGTTCTCTGCATTTTGACTGATTGTGATTTTCTGTAATGGTTTTTATCTGTTTCATAGAGCTTTTTTTTTTTTAAGATGGAGAAAGCAAACATTTTCTTCATGGTCTTTGTTTTTTTTTTTTTTTTGTTTTTTTTTTACAAAGTCGTTAGCTTTTTATACCTTGAGTATTTCAAATGAAAATATCAAATCTAAATATTCAATATATTTTCATGTTATCATGACTAAATGATATTTTCTTTAATGACATCTCTAGTCCTGTTTTCTGTCGCCAGGTGCAAACCTCTGGTTCTATCTTCATTGTCATGCTCCGGCATGCTGTTCTATCCAAAGCCTATGAAAATATGTCAAAACTTTCACATTGGTCTTCATACAGCACTAACAATTTCTGGGAATTATGGTATTTTCTGTGGCTTTTACAATGCACTCAGTGCCATTTCATCCGTTTTAATTTTTTTGAGACAGGATATTGTTATGTAGTTCCAGCTGGTCTAGATCATCTTCTTACCTCAACCTCTCAAGAGCTGGATTATAGGAATGTGCTAGAGAAACATTTTAACCAGCATTTGTGTGTAATTGGCAAGTGGTTTTTCTTTGCTGGGGAAGTGGGTGAGCCTTAGAGGTTACAGTAGAAATGCCTAAAATTTACAAGCAAACCCCCAAGTCACTGGAATGCCCGAGAGAACGAGATTCTGAAGTAGAATATTCTTCTCTGCACATAACTAGAACTAGACCACAAATGATCACCACACTGGTAAGCATATGTTAGTACTCGAATCAATGACCATCTTGCCTATCTTTGACTTCTGAATAAATTGTGGGGAGTTCATGAGTAAAATAGCTCTTCTTCTTCTTCTTTTTCCAACCCTAAGGTTTATGCTATTTATCCCTAAGCCAGAAGAAAATGAAATTTTAAAAATCTGAATCATTGTCTTACTGTCTTTTATAGGTTTATCCTCAGAAAGGAAATTCAACCAATAGATGCACAGAAGAGCTGTGGACTCTCAGCTGTGGCCACTCTGCTTCTGCAGCACAGCTGTGAATGTTCTCCTCTGAGATCTGCTCTGGATCATCTTCCCAATGGCCCAAATAAAGGAAAGATAAGGACCCAGAGACAATAGACCATTGAGACCTCCATAACCAAGTCTCCACAAATGAGGCAGCTGATTAAATTACATGCTGCTCCTTGAAACTCTCTTCAACTAACTGCTGACGGGTTTGTGAAGATGATTCCAGGACCAGCATAACTCCAGCTTTGCTGCTTGATGTTATATGCTGATTTAGACTGTACAAATATTAAGCCAGGCAAGGTGGCATATGCCTGTAACTCCATGGGAAATTGGAAGCAGGAGGATTGCAGTAAGTTCCAGGCCAGTCTGGTTTGCAACAAAAATGCCAACGCAGCCAATTTCTATCTCAAAAAATGAGTAATACATGGTATATTATCTGGGAGGAAAACCATTCTCCGCAATGGCTAACTTAGTTCTTCACTGTTTTGACAGTTGGACTAGATAATATGTTCCTTATTACTGAACATGGAACTAAATGAATTTGAATAGACAACCAAAAGACCTATAGAATCACCTGATTACATGAGTGACTCAAACTGAATAAAAGATAAACATGAACCTGTCCTTCCAGTGGATTATTTTTAAGATCTTCAGAAGTTGCGAGCCTCTTTTGTCTTTAGATAAAATGAATTATGAAAGGATGATGTCCTGATAGGTTGGCACTGACCTCCTTCTGTCTATATGCAGTTAGCAAGAATTGCCAAATAAATACATGCAATGAGGCTCTGTCTCTGCCATTTTGTGGATTTGAACAATAGTTTAAGAAAACTTAACTATGACTTTGAACTAATTAACCTGAAAATAATACATACCTAAGTTTTATTGCAGTTCAATTATAAAGCGATCTATCAGTGTTCTAAAAGAGTTCCTGTTTGTAAGGATGAATGTTCATGACAAGATCTGCAAATATCTCACACTTCTAAATGAACTTAAATAGAACCAGGAACATCCAAAATTATGCGGCTTGTCTAACTCAAACTATTTTTGTTTTAATTTGTGGGTACACACTGCATAATGAGAAGGTTAAAAAAAAAAGTCTCAGGAAATGAAGCATTTTCCCTTTGGGCTTTGTCGTCACTGTAACTTAACTCTTAAGAAGAGCAGAATGATCCTGTCACAGCCCTTTGTTTATGCTGCTATTTATCAGAAAGACAAGTCATCCTTGGGCGCTAACTTCGTGTATTGAAAGGAAAAGTATTGGCTCAGAGCCCCTAAGACCAAGTTTTCAGCACAAAAGAGATTTATTTTCCCTTGCAGGACAGAGGGCAGGGAATAAGAGACAAAGACAAGAGATAGAAGATGAGGGAGAAGGGGATGGGAACAAGGAATAGGGAGCTGGGGTATTTGTCCTGGAAGACAAAGGACTGACTGTCACTGGATGGAGAGGAGACAGATGAGGCCCATAGGCAAATGGTGGTTTTATAGAGGTAAAATAAGAAACCCCAAGCTAGAATGAGGTGTTTAATTTTAATTTGGCAACTTAATTTGGTGAGCTAAAGCTGGTTTTTGATTACTGAACTTCAGTACTTTGATCCGGCTATCTTGGTGGTCAGCCTCAGGAGTAGGGATTGGCAAAATAAGGGACTAGAGCTTGGGGGCTAGCCTCAGGAATGTAATCTAATGGATTTTAGCAATGCAGAGGGGTTGGGAGAAGAGGGCAAGGTCTGCCGTAGATAGATGCATGTTAGCTAGAGCAGGCTAGCAACCCTTCAAGTATTTCAGGAAAACAGCTGTAAGCTATAAGAAGGCATCCTGCATATTGGAATTCCATTTCTTCAGATTGCTAAGGAAGTCTTTGTAAAGTCCGTTTGTAATGGTAAATTAAGTCTATGAAACAATATGTGCTCATAGAATAAAAGATGAACATACAAGAAAATGCTTTTCACGAGCCAGTAACTAATGTCAGCAGCAATAAAACAGTTTAACTATCCAACCTGACCCCATGCTATTACCAATGAAAAACATGCTCAACAGTGACAAGAATGTATAAATGTTAACCTGGGGGGGGGAGGAGCCTAAGTTAATGAGAACTAATTTCATTTTTTCTCCCAGTGGGGGAGGAGAACGACCTGCTAGTGTGAAAAAGAGAAGGTGTTATGCAGAATCTAACTGTTCCAGAGAGATTTCAATCCTTGCTCTTCCTAAGTCCCTCTCCCCAGTAACAGGTGCCTGGAGACTTCTCTGCTTAGGATCATAATAAGGTTCACATACTCATATCTGTGGCTCTATTTTCTTTTCACACAGAGTTTGTGGGCATTAGTGAGGAATAGCTGTGTTGCTATGAAAGGAAAGGAGGTCATGACGCCTGTCTGAGAAAGGAAACATAAAAGCAGGCACACTTCAAGAGTCTGGGTGATCATGGAGAATTTGATCTTTGGCTTGAAGATATCACATGAAGGGAAACATGTGTTCTCTTTGTTTTGGTTGCAATGCGAGTTTAGAAGAAAACTGCGGGTCTGGTAACACCAGGGGCACAGGTCAGCCTTGCCTCCTCCTTCACGGCTTCACTCTGTTCTCTTTGCTTTAGGCTTCATTTTCTGTTTTGTAGGGTATTCACTGAGCCCTGACACCACCAAGAGAAATACAGTTACGTTCTTGTGATGGCTAATCGATCTGAAACTTACAGGGGATCTGCAATCTTCCTAGAGATCCATGACAAGTAGGTGACAGAGCCAAGATTCAAAACTGAATGGAGGGACAGCCCAGGGATGTGGATGTCACAGCTCAGCTTTCTAGGACACTCCAGAAAGTGTTATTCACTGTGATGGTCCATTCGGTTTTCACTAAGTTTTACCATAGAGCATAGTTTTGAAAAAAAAAAATAGAGAAAAGAGAAATCTCATTCAGATTATGTGAAGAAAGTAAGATGAGCACAAAGTGTGTGAGACACTCCAGTATGGGCGTATTGTTGCTTTTGGCTTTCAACATTTTTAACGAAGGCCAGTCACTAGTAGAATCAGATCTAAATATATGGTAAATTGTCGGACTTTTCTGTCCCACCAGCCACTCCCCAAATTACCAACAAAAACTTGTATTAATCATAAATTCTTGGCTGATAGATTAGGCTTGTTACTAACTAGCTCTTACAACTTAAATTAACCCATATTTCTTATCTAAGTTCTGCCAGGTAGCTCATGGCTTGTTACCTCATTGTCTGCATATCCTGCTTCCCCAGCATCTGGCTCTAGACTCTTAAACTCCACCCTTCTTCTTCCCAACATTTTCTCTGCCCCCAAACCCTGGCTAACTGTTGGCCAATCAGCTTCTTATTAACAATGAGAGAAACACATATTTACAATACAAAAAGATTGTTCCATAGCACTACGTAATTGAAGTGTAATAATTAGGCCAGCTGTCATGACTTAGATGCCTTCTTAGTTTAAGTGGCTCTGCTGCCTGCCTTCTTGAACTACATGTGGATGGATCCACATTTGGAGGAAGGACAGAGCACTTGCCAGCCCAAGACCTCCCCAACTTAATAATCCTGTTTTTTTTTTTATTTGTTTTTTATTTGTCATTTCTCTCTCATCCCACTAAGAGCCACAGGATTCTAGTTCCCAGACTGTGATTCTGTAGCATTACAGGTGCAAATATACCGAGTGTGCTTTCTCTGCTCAATTTCTTGCAACCCAGTTACATTGTTCAGAAGAAAAAAAAAAGTTGCTATAATCTCTGTTTTTCAGTTATTTTAGGAATCATTTCTTTTGCCTAGTTTCTCCTTCATAGTATTTATTTTCCCATCTTCTGCTCCAAGAGAGAAAGCTACTATAAAGAACACTATATTAAGTTGATTTTTCTGTTGCTGTGACAAAGCACTGACCAAAAGAAAGTTGAGGGGGGGAAGGGTTTATTAAGGTTACAGGTAACAGTCCATTAAGAGGAGGCAGAGCAGGATTTCAAGGCAAGAACCTAGAGCAAGTAACTGAAGTTGAGAAAATGAAGAATTTCTGCTTACTGCCTTTCTTACCATAACTCACTCAGTTTGCTTTCTTATATAACCCAGGACCATGCAATCATGGGTAGCACTATTCATGGCAGACTGGCACAATCATTAATCAAGAGAACTCCCCAAAGATATGTCCGCAGAACAATCTGATGAAGGTACTTTCTGAACTGAGGTTCCTTCTTCACAGCTGACTCTAATCTGTGTCTAATTGATAAAACTAACCAGCGCAGCCAGTTACATTCCTTGCCTTTATAATTCTATAGGAGAGGAGCCATTTGTCACCATACACCTACACACTGCCTGCCCTGGCCCACCCTGTCACATTCACGGTGAGAACCACCCATACATATATGAAGCAAAGAACACTCTGTCCCTCTGCCTCCTCCATCTTGCAAGCTAACTTATTCAAGTACCCTATCAAATAGGTTTAGAGAGGGTGGACATCCTTGTTTTGTTCCTGAGTTTGGTGGAAATGAGTGTCTCCTGTTTGGTTGATTTGGGTTCTGGGCTTGTTGTAAATTGCCTTTATTGTGTTGAGGAATGTCCCTCATATTCCTAGTTTCCCCAGGACTTTTATCATGAAAGGATGTTGTGTTTTCAAAGGCCTTTTCTTCATATAAAGAGATGGTAATGTGATTTTTGCCTTTTAATATGTTTATGTGTTGGATTAAGCTTACTTATTTACATATATTGAACCATCCCTTTATCTCTGGAATGAAGCCAGGTTGATCATCTTTTTGCTGCCTTTTTAGATTTGTTTGGAAGTATGCTAAGGAGAATTTCTGTTTCTATGTTAAGAAGGAAAACTGATCTATAATTCTCTTTTGTTGGGGGGTGGGCTTCATGTAGTTTGGTATCAGAGAAATAGTGGCTTTCTAAAAAGAATTAGGGAATGTTGCTTTTGGTTGGGAGATTTTTTTAAATTACCGCTTCTGTTTCACTAGGGGTCATGGATCAGTTTAAATTGTTTATTTCATCTTGATTAAACTCTGATAGCTTATGTATATAAAGAAATCTGTTCATTTCTTTTTGGTTTTCTAGTTTAGTTGAATATAGATTTTTAAAGTATGTCCTTTGATTATGTGACTTTCCTTGATGTCTGTTGTAAGGTCTCCCTTTTCATCTTTCATTTTATTAATTTGGATCTTCTCTTTATGTTAATTTAGGTTAATTCGGCTTAGGATTTGTCAGTCTTATTAATTTTCTCAAAAATTAACACTTCATTTCATTGATTGTTATTTCATTAGTGTCAACCCTGAGTTGGATTGTTTTTTTAGTTTTCCCTGTGAATTCTTTTTGGGTATTGATTTTTTTTTTAAGGACTTTCTTGTGTTTCATTAAGTTACTAATATAATAGCTCTCCAGTTTTTACATGTAAACACTTAGTTCAATGAACGTATCTCTTATAATTGCATTCATTATATCTTATAGGTTTGGGTTTGTTGTATATTTCTTTCCATTCAAGTCTAAAAAGTTTTTATTTCCTTCTTGACTTTTACCCAATTTTCATTCAGTTGTGAAATGTTCCATTTCAATCACATTGTATACTTTTTCCTGCTTCTATAGTTGCTGATATCTAGCTCTAAACCATGGTGATCAGACAAGATACAGGGTATAACTTCAATTTTTTATATCTGTTGAGACTTTTTGTGTCCTAATACATGCTCAGTTTTCAAGAAATTTTCATGTGTTGCTGAGAAGAAAGAGCTTGTAGAGCATCTGTCCAGGCTCTTCTGACTTTGAGAGTTTGCATTTAAAAGTTAGGTATTA